GGAATTGCAGAAGAGAGAGAAAATTTCGCAAAGATAGCAAAGGTAGAAGACGATAATTGTACAGGTGCGTTGCTTTTATAGTAAGAAAACAAACCTATGCTATTACTAATTTACCCTGACAGTAACGGTAATTTTTAAAATTTACCGTTAGACACCTATGTTTTAACGGTTTCAGCTAACTTATCTGTTAAGTTACTGAACGGGCTCATCATTACTTCACCCCTTGGGTGAATAAATGTCAAATGTAGCAGTTATTAGTACACATAGACACGTCGGTGCAAGTATTTAAAATACCTGGACCGGTGAGGTGGCTTTCTTTACTAAATTGGATTCGTCATTCCAATGGCTTCTCTCAGTATACTGAATTGTTCCTTGTTCAGTGCTTTTGTGAATATGTCAGCTAGCTGTTCCTCTGAGGGGACAAAGCTCAGCTTGATGTCACCCTTCTGAATGTGATCTCTAATAAAGTGATGCCTTATGTTGACATGCTTCATTCTGCTATGCTGAACTGGATTTTTGGATAGATCAATTGCTTACTTCTTGTCACATTTTACTTCAATTGTTTTGATCTGAATCCCATAATCCTCAATCTGCTGCTTGATCCAGAGGACCTGAGCTACACAGCTTCCAGCAGCAATATATTCAGCTTCAGTAGTTGACAAAGCCACTGAGGCTTGCTTCTTACTGAACCAAGAAACCAATCTCTCGCCAAGGAATTGATATCCACCTGATGTGCTCTTTCTTTCTAGCCTGTCTCCCCCATAATCAGCGTCAGTATAGCCATGAAGCTCAAAATTTTCACTGGCTGGATACCATATCCCTGCTTCTACTGAGCTGTGTAAATATCTAAGGATTCTCTTAACAGCAGTTAAGTGAGATTCCTTGGGGTTAGACTGAAAACGAGCACAATAGCAAACTGAAAAGTGTATATCAGGCCTACTTGCAGTAAGATAAAGTAAAGAGCCTATCATACCTCGATATACCTTAGTGTCTACTGACTTACCAGTTGAATCCTCATTCAGTATGGTACCTGTTGCCATGGGTGTACTGATAGACTTGCAGTTGTCCATACTGAACTTCTTCAGAACCTCTCTGGCATACTTAGACTGATTGATGAATATTCCATGCTTGCTTTGCTTGATTTGGAGTCCAAGGAAGAAATTCAACTCTCCCATTAAAGACATCTCAAATTTAACCTGCATTTGATCACTAAACTCTCTACATAGATCTTCGTTAGTACTGCCAAAGATAATAGCATCTATGTAGATTTGTACAAGCAGAATATCATCAGATTTTCTTTTAATAAACAGAGTTGTATCAGCTTTCCCTCTGTAAAAATCTTTAGTCATAAAAAATTTAGTTAGTCTTTCATACCAAGAACGAGGTGCTTGCTTCAGACCATATAAAGCTTTCTTTAGTTTAAAAACGTGGTCAGGGAACTGATGGTCTTCAAAACCAGGGGGTTGTCTGACATAGACTTCCTCCTCAATAAAGCCATTTAGAAAAGCACTTTTAATATCCATTTGGTATAGTTTAAAACTCATAAAACTGGAAAATGAGCATAAAATTCTAATTGCTTCTAACCTTGCCACTGGTGCAAATGTTTCACCATAATCTATACCTTCTTACTGATTGTCGCCCTGTGCTACTAATCTGGCTTTATTTCTGATGATGTTCCCTGCCTCGTCCATCTTGTTTTTGAACACCCATTTGGTTCCTATTACAGATTTCCCTTTGGGTTTAGGAACTAAATCCCACACCTGATTTCTCTTGAACTGATCAAGCTCTTCTTGCATTGCATTCATCCAGTATTCGTCATGCTCAGCATCAGTAAACACTTTGGGTTCCAGCATGGAGACGAATGCAACATTTCCAATCATCTTACTGAGCTGACCTCTTGCCATAACTCTGTTCTCGACTTGATCAATGATGTTCTCTTGGGGATGTTCCTTTCTGATCCTCAGCTCTTTAGGCAATTCTTGATTTGTATCTCTTTGAGTGTCAGTAAGGGACTGAGCCTGGGTAGTCTCCTTTACTGAAGGATCTTCCTTGGGATCAGATAGACTGAGTTGCTTTACTCCAGTCAGTGTGGCTTCGAGCTCAGTACAGTCTTCAGATTCTCCTCTTGAATCTGCATGGTTAGTTTCATTGAAATCTACATGTATTGACTCTTCCACAGTATTTGACTTTTTATTAAAGACTCTGTAGGCTTTACTGTGTGATGAATAGCCCAAAAATATAGCTTCATCAACTTTAGAATCAAATTTGCCAAGGTTGTCTTTTGTATTTAAAACAAAACATTTGCATCCAAATGATCTGAAATAACCAATCTTAGGCTTTCGCCCTCTTCATAGCTCATAGGGGGTCTTTTTCAGTTTAGACCTGATCAAGACTCTGTTCAGTATATAACAAGCTGTACTGACAGCTTCACCCCAAAAATATTTAGGAAGATGGTTTTCAGCAAGCATTGTCCTAGCCATTTCAATAAGGGTTTTGTTCTTCCTCTCTACAATACCATTCTGCTGAGGTGTGCGAGGAGCTGAAAAATTATGGCTAATGCCCTTGGCTTCACAGAATTCCTCAAACAATTGATTTTGGAATTCTCCACCATGATCAC